AATCTGAAAGCATTTTCTCTAAGGTCAGAAATGGGGCAGAGGTGCTAACTTTGCTCTATTTAATATAGTCTGGAAGTCTTACCTGAAGCAACAAGGCAGAGAGCAAAATAGAAAGAATAAGAGCAGAAAATAGTGAGGAAATGAAAGTGTCCCTACTTGTAAATAACACAAACCTACAACCTAAATAATCCAGATGCTGCTAAGAAATTTATAGATTAGAAAACTACTTTCAGCAATGTGCCAGGTGCAGATCAACAAACAGAAATCAGTGGTTCTAGTGAGGCATGGTGGCATATACCTGAGGCATGGTGGCATGTACCTAAGGCATGGTGGCATGTACCTGAGGCATGGTGGCATGTACCTGAGGCATGGTGGCATGTACCTGAGGCATGGTGGCATGTACCTGAGGCATGGTGGCATGTATCTGAGGCATGGTGGCATGTTCCTGTAAGGCCAGCACTCCATGATCTTCCTGCAGATGTCCAGGCTAGCTTGATGTACACAATACTTGGTCACAACAGCAGTAATGGTTCTCTAACTAAAACAAAAATGATCAGAAGCTTTTTATTTTTATTTTTTAAAAAATATTTATTTATTATGTATAGAATATTCTGTCTGCTTGTATGCCTGCAGGCCAGAAGAGGGCACCAGACCTCATTACAGATGGTTGTGAGCCACCATGTGGTTGCTGGGAATTGAACTCAGGACCTTTGGAAGAGCAGGCAATGCTCTTAACCGCTGAGCCATCTCTCCAGCCCGATCAGAAGCTTTTTAGAAATGTATAATCTAATAATGAACTTGCAGAGAAAGAAATCAGGAAAAAAAACCACATTCATAATAGCTTCACACAATCAAACAACAATGAAAGCAAAATAAAACACACGCACACAAACACACACACACACACACACACACACACACACACAAAACTAATTCCCAACCTAGAAGTAAACCTAACTGAGGAGTGAAGATACTAGAAGATTCAAAGACTTCTTATGCTCATGGATCAGCAAAATTAATATTGTATGGCTTTTTAAAAATGAATGCTTAGCTGTAGATTCAGCACAATCCTCATCGAAATTCCAATGATATTCTTCACAGAACTAGGAAAAACCCCTGAAATTCACAAAAACACAAAAGACCTCCCCCCACAACCAAAGCAATCCTTTGCAGAAACAACACTGATGGCATTGCAATACTGATCTTAAAATCACTACAGAGTCATAGTAGCAAAAACAGCAAGATCCACGCATAGAACGGACTCATAGCTCAGTAGCATGGAATAGAGGATCAAGGAATCAAAACACACATAGGTATAACCACCTAATCTTTGAAAAGGCGCCAGAAACATATATTTGGGGAAAAGAGTGCTTCCTAAATATCTGGTGTTGGGAAAACTAGGTAGGCACACGTGAAAGAGTACAGCTATATTCCTGATATGCTGTGCCAAATCAAAATGGATCAAAGGCCTTAGAGAAGACCTGGAATTCTGAAAGACTAGAGGAAAATAAGGCATAGCATTTCAAGGTCAACACATAGATCAGGGCTTTCTGAAAAGCGTTGCAGTAGCACAGAAAACAATCCCAAGAACTGACAAGTGGCATTGAGTGAAATTAAAAAGCTTTTGTAGCTGGGTGGTGGTGGCGCACGCCTTTAATCCCAGCACTCGGGAGACAGAAACAGACAGATCTCTGTGAGTTCGAGGCCAGCCTGATCTACAAGAGCTAGTTCCAGGACAGGCTCCAAAGCTACGGAGAAACTCTGTCTTGAAAAACCAAAAAAGAAAAAAAAAAGCTTTTGTCTAACAGGAACAGAAGTGAGTAATTGCACTTAGTAGGCATCTTATAGAAGACAGAGTTTATTTGGACACATGGTTCTGGAGGGATGAGAGTCCTTCATGACAAGGAGAAATGGCAGCAGCTGGCATAGTTGCTAAAGCAGGAAGCTGCATGCTCATATTTTCAATGGCAAACATGTAGCAGAGAGAGAACTGGAAAGGGCCAAGTCTTTAAACTCTGAAAGTGCACTCTAGCAACACACTTTCTGCATGGAGGCTGTATCTCCTAAACTTCCCCAAACAGTGGCACCAGCTAAGGACTAACTGTTGAAATAGATGAGCCTGTGGGAGACATGCTCATTCAGACTACTACAGGAATAGAATTTGTGTGACTGGAAGACATCATCAGATAATATCCTATGTGCTGTGTGTGTGTATTTTTATTAGACCTGTGGCTGTAAAGCTTGGCACTAGGCTCCAAGCAGGCCTATATTAATAGGAAGAGACATTGTGTCTGCATATATACATATAACTGTATGTATACTTATACACAGATGCACCTACTTAAGCATATGTGTATAAAATTGAGTGTATTTGCAATTTTGCACAAAATTGGGGAGAGGAATTCTTTACCTATCTTTGCTGCCTCCTTGCAGAAGTGTTGTAATATATAGGAAAGGTGGAAGAAGAGCTAGGAAGTGAGTGCCGGTCAGCCATACTGAGAGTTAGGCTTCCCCCAAGAGAGGAGTCGTTTTCCTGATGCTCGGACTGTTGGGCTGGCCTCCTTTCATTCTTAGTGTGGTGTTTCTGTAAGGAACTCTAATTCCTAAGGTTCTAGTTACACTGCTGTCATTAAAAACAGCCTTAGGAAATGCTCAAAGAGAAGAAAGGGAAATATGTGGTTTGCAAAAAAAGAAAAAAAAGGTATATAATTCAGAGTATAGGATTCTGTTAAAATCAGTTTAATAGTTTCCTTTGAAACAATGTTTATGGGTTGGAGAGGTAGCTCAGAGGTTAAGAGCACTGACTGCTCTCCCAAAGGTCCTGAATCCAATTCCCAGCAACCACCTGCTTGCTCAAGTCATCTGTAGGGAGATCTGGTGCCCTCTTTTGGCCTGCAGGCAGAACACTGTATGCGCAATAAATAATAAATCTTAAAAAAAAAAAAAGTTTAGTGACTTTATTTTTAAGTACGTGTTTATTGTTGCCACACTTTTAAAGAATTCATTTTAATAAAACCTATATGAAGATAAATATGTAAAGTCTAAAAAAGAAGCTCTTTTTCTTAGGTTCATCAAAGTGTTTATTAAATTATTTTAATTTTAGCAAGGGCTTCTAGTCTTTTCAAAATGCATTTAAACATTTGATTGCATTTGTTTTTGTGTGTATGTGTATGCGGAGGACAACCTGCAGGAGTCTGTTGTCGTCTTCCACCACATGGCCCCATGGTTGGACTCTGGTTGTCAACACTTCGCACAAATGCCTTCAGGTCCACTGAGACATCTTACCACCTCACAAAACATATTTCAAACGAATTGTTCTTAGGCAACTCTTTTCACCTTTATCTCTGAGATAAATTATATTATTTAGCAAGCACCCAGAGTTGACGTTTGAAGGATGCCTGATGTATTTGTTGTGTGATTTCCAATTTTGTGCTTGAGGGAATTTCTGTGTTACATAGGGGGAATTGACAGCCTCTTTAATTATTCATGAGCTCCCCTCCAGAGTAAAAGTTAACACAGATGAAAAATGACATGCAATTTTTACACGAGTGGAAACTTTTATCTCAAAAGTGATGTATGTATAATCACTGCCCAAAACTATTTTAAGGCTCAGCTGACTGACTTCCTTTTCTGGTTGACCCTCTTGCTTCTGCTCCCACCCCCATAGCAAAGGTGAAAGCTTTGCTGGACTCCTGTGGGTGTGGGGATCCAAGCTTGGGTCTTTATGCTTGGGAATCAAGTGCTCTTGCCCACTGAACTATCTCCTCTGCACTGCTTTTTGGATTTCAGTTTTATTCTTTGAATTTACTTAGTTGTATCAACCCTCCCTCAAGCCACTTTTGGATAAAGATAAACTGGAAAGGTGTTTATGAACAGTCCTTCAAGAGTATGACTTTTCCATACATGGGGCAAGGAATTCCAGGTTCCTGTTAGCATGTTCTAGCATGTGACTTGTCAGTGTGGGAAACTCTAATTCTTTTTGTTAGGTGTGTAATAGTCTTTCCAGTATGGTTGTATAGTAATTTACCAGCCATATCTTTGTTGGTGGAGATTATATCCAGTCTGTGCTCGTTCAGGATACTGTTTCAGTATTTTCTATGTAGAATTTTATGTACCAATGTTTTCTTTTTTCCTTTGTGTTCTTAAAGTGGAATTGCTAGTTCCGGATGCTATGTAGTTCATGTCTTCATAGTCACTGGACAAATCAGTGTTGTGGTACTTCCACCACCTCTGCCCTCCTCATCCCTCTCTCTTGGTAGTTGACCCCTTCCCCCTGAGTCTCCCTTCTTTCAAGCACATCCATTTCATTGCTATCCTCTTTGTCCCCTCACAGTCCCGTTTCTGCTTTCATGTCGAATGAGCCCTTCCTTGAGGATAGCCCATCATACGAATGAAAGAGGAAGCATTTCTGACTCTTGTAAACACTGCCGCTGCTCCCTTCAGTGCTCAGGAATGCATGCTTCCCAGCGCCAGGCATTTTCCTGGCACAAAGGTTCGGTACAGCTTTAGACTGAGTATTCCGGGGAATGCTCTGCAGGTCCCCAGAGTGTGGCCTTGATGTGGGTCTCACGCCCAAGTGCTCTGCTCTCTGAACTCAGCTGTCTTGATCTCTCCTTGTGGTTCTTTTTGCTCACCCTGGAAAGCTGATGGGCCAGCTCCATCTGGGGTTCTCCTCCTGTATACTCAAGGGTTTAAACTGGAGCAATCAAAAGGCTTAGCCCACAGTGTTTGTTCTTTATTTTATAGTGTGTGTGTGTGTGTGTGTGTGTGTGTGTGTGTGTGTGGTGCATGCATGTGAGTATGTGGCTGCACACAGGTGAGGCCACACCAGAGCAGGATGTCCGATGTCTTTCTCTATTACCTTCCATTTTATTGCCCTGCAACATGGTTTCTCACTGAAGTGTATTTCAGCTGGAGTAGCTGGCTGGCAGCTTCTCAACCCTTCAATAACTAACGATAACTATGCGTTACAGGAGCATTTGTGCTCTTATTTTCTTCAGAGACTGCACAAAGAATATTTCAAGAAAAAGGCATCCTGGCAGGAGAAAGCAGAAGTTTTAAGCCTCACTTGACCTTTATGAAACTGTCAAAAGCACCAGTGCTCAGGAAGCAGGTGAGTGCACATTTGTATCGTTGGACTTATTTTCCGGGGCACCCAGGCTTTAGCATGGTTGGGAGTGTGACGTTTTGTATTTTTGGCACCCTAACCTCCTTGTTCCTGGGACTTCAGGTCAATTCATTTCCAATCCAAGGGTGCTAAAGATCTCAGTGTTCCTAGGAGGCTATTACAGCCGTGCCTGATTTGCTGCCTGGCTGTGGTTTGCACACTGACACCCCTGACGGCTGCTGCTTCTTTTGCGATTCCTCCCAGGAGGAGCCTGTAGATGGCACCAGAGGTCAGTTGTTCTGCTCCCTTGCTTCTGCCTCCTTCAGCTCCCAGGGTTTCCTGCGCCAGCCTCTATTCACTTGCTGCTCATTGCAGTCCTCTGTTCTAGCCCGCGTTGAGGGATGCTATGGGACTCTACTTTTTGTAGGCTTTTCAGAGATTCCAAAAGAGAGTTTTGCTCTTCCATAATCGCTTCCACTCGGCCTGGAACAAGGATACCACAGACTGGCTGTTAAAGTATCCGTGGGACACCCCTACCCCGTCCCTGAGTACTTTTCCATAAGGTTGGGTAACAGTGACAAGCTAAGACTAGTTGTCTTTTAACTTCCTTTAGCTATGGTGATTTTACCCCTGCACGCACGCACGCACGCACGCACGCATTCACGTTTTCTTGATTTCTCCATTTCAGCCCAGGGTTTCTTATATCACCTGCTGGCCTCTTTTATACCAGACTATCTGAGATAAGCATGCAGATCAGTGTCCACTGCCTGCTCCTCATTCTTTCTGCTCCTTTTAAGGCTCATTCGCAGCTCTATAAATGAAGGCCGTACTTGTTACTAAGTATAACCTGCTCCCTGCCAGTTTAGCTCTCAGAGTTCTTTTTGTTCTTTAAAACGTGTTTGGCTGATCTATCCTGTGCTTCCAAGCTTTCTACGCACTATTGTTAAAGATGCCCTCAAAGAGATATCTTGCATATTTTTGATATCTATTTTTAAAAAGTCGCCAGTATCTATCTCCATGAGGCCTGGTTGTAAGATATGCTAGGGGAAATGATTATTGTACGTGACAGTGTTTGAAGCCTGCAGAGCTTGTAGACTGACCGTTCACTTCTTCACTTGTTGTCTCTCTCGTTTTGCTTGCAATGGATTGCCTTCTCCCAAGTGGCTTCCCATTTAGTCCCAGAGTGGCAAATCAGTGGTGAAGGTAATTCCCCTATTTCACAATGTTATTTTGCCTTGACAATATTAGTTTACGACGGGAGCACCCAGTGACACTTACCAAAGGGATGCGGAAATGTTCCAGGATCTCGATTTCACCTTCCAGACTGTTCTTGTGTGCTTTCTGGGCACCTCGCTGCACAGAACTGAGTTCCTCTCACTAGAGGACAGGCACTTGAGCCTCAGAAGGCTTACCTGCCTTCAGGGAGGTCACAGTCCCACTCTGTGACTAAGAACCTGTCTCATTCCCAGTCTCCTGTCCGTCCTGCCCACCAGCCAACTTCCATTCACTCACATTCATTTCTATATATGAGGAGCATCTGTTACAGATTATGATTCCATAAATATTTATTTGGTATCTGTTGCATGCCAGGGACTGGCTGCTTAAGTCTGAATTGGTAATCAAAGTGGAAAGTTCCTGCTGGAATGGTATACAGACTTGAAATCAAATTGCATTCTGTAGAGATTAGAAGATTTAATCTATTGAAAGATTTTTATTAAATCTATCTAAAAAAAAATCACAATAGACTCTGTCTTCTCCACCCAGGAGATATAACAAGATCCCCAGTAAATGCCTGAAGCCACAGATAATATTAATCACGCTATATGTTGTTTCCCCATATGTGTGTTTATTCACTTAAATGATAAGTGTACTATGGCTTATCTTTGGCCTAGCAAATGCCAGCATTACTGTGCACTTTGGGGCCATTATTATGTAAAGGTATGAATTAAATGTGAGCACTGTGCTGTCTGGCCTGAAAGCTGATGTGGTTACCGAGTGGCTAACAGGAGGGTCCTGTGGTCTGATAGTTGATGTGGTTACCAGTGGCTAACTGGAGGGTCCTTGTGGTCTGATAGCTGATGTGGTTACCAGTGGCTAACTGGAGGGTCCTGTGGTCTGATAGCTGATGTGGTTACCATCTGCTAACTGGAGGGTCCTTGTGGTCTGATAGCTGATGTGGTTACTGAGTGGCTATTGGGAGGGTCCTGTATGCAATGTGGCTGCGCTGGCAAAGGGATGATTCCCATCCTGGGTCGGGCAGGGTAGCACAGGGTCTTTTGCTGCTCTGAAGGGTGCACAGCAAAAAGACTCGTGCTTTATCTCTCTGGAATATTTGTCTTCCCTCTCCCCTCAGCTCTAGTGCCAGCCCTCCCTTTCCTCACACTAAGTTGCCCAGGTTGGCTTTGAATTCATGGCCCTCCTCCTCTAACCTCCCAGGTATTAGAATTACAGGTCTATACCACCAGGGAAGCTCTTCTTCATATTTTCTATTTAATACTTTTAAACTGTGGTTGACCGCAGAGAACTGAAAACTTACACAAAAGGTGAGACTTCTGATTGTCTCTCTGGTGTCCGTCTATACATCCCATCTATTCCATGCTGACTTGCATGCTACTTTTTTCTGGAAACTCCTTCCTATGCAGCAATGGGATGACGTCAGCAGCTTCTGAGGTGTCCTGTAATCCAATCAAGTAGAATCTAAACTGAACTCTCCTTGGCTTTATTTATGTAGGCAGAAGAGAAAGTAAAAGAGGGAGAAGCAGGTAATAGTTGCCTTTCCTACTTGCATGTGGGATACCATGCAATTCAAGTACTTTATTATTTTTTATTTTAAAAGTTATTTTAATTGTAAAGTAATTGCATACTATAAACAGTTCAATATATATAATGCTATAGAATGAAGGTAATGAAACTTTGTTCATCTTTGCACAAATGTGTAGCCCAGGCTGGCCTCAAACTCCAGGTCTTACCTGAGTTTCCTGATTGAACTATGTAACCTTACCTAGCTGTTTTGCCCAGATTTCTGGGTGCCCCCCAAAACACCATGGGGTTCACACTCACATATAAAAGCAAAGAGCCTTTATTCATTACAGTGGGTACCATAGTTTGGGCAGTTGCTTTGCACAACACTTAATGTGTCTTTTAATGCATTTCAGAGGTAAAGGTTGAGATTCCGATGTTCTTTTAGCCAGTGGTTTTTCAGAAAGGTTTCTGAATAGAGCTGATGTTGCTATCTCTAGGATGGAGTGAACTTTCCTTGACATATCAGGGATTTTTACTCAGGTGGTTAGGATTTTGCTGGGGTCCAGTGAAAGGTCGCCTTGGTGAGCTGAATTTAGTAAGAAGTGGTGATCAGCATGTCAGATGCCCATGGCAAGTCAGGAGTGATGGGAAGCCTCTGGCTTCTGAGGCCCTGAATCTTTCTATGACTTGGGAGGGTGCTTATTTAGTGTCTAGGAGAAACCTAATAAGGTGTTATTTAAAATTGTTTTTATTATGCTTATATATATTATATATACATGTAAGTACACAAACATCATGGTGCACATATATGGAGATTGGAGGACAATTTATAGGAGTCCATCACCTCCTTCTACCTTGTGGGTTCCAGGTATCAAACTCAGGTCATCAGGTTTGGCAGCAAGTGGCCCTGAGTCATCTCACCGCCTATCCTTTATATTTCACTTGACATTCTAGGAGGACATCTGCAAGTAATTTTGGGTGTGATATAGAAACACTCCCAAGATACTAGTAGTGTTATTGTTGGGACTGGTGACTATTGGTTTTTTAAAAAAGCCATGCACTAGGCAGAGAACAGTTGTAGATCAGCACAGGCAAGCATCTAAGACCACAGGATGGACAGACAGTCCACCTGCTGCTGACCAGAGGAGATGCAGTCATAGAGGTTAGTGTTTCCTCCTTTCATCTAGTCACCAGCATCTTTAATAACCCAAAAAACTATTATCCATGTTAAACTAAAAGAAAAATTCAAAGTTGGAGCTGTAACAATATATTTAGGAAGTTAAATATCTCATTAAGATCATGGGCAGAGCCTGGTGCTGGCCCCGAGTGCTCTGGGAGTGCTCCAGGGTGCTCCAGGAGTGCCCCTCAAGAGCTCCCATGAAGATTCTCAGTGGTGGTCAGTGTGGGGTAGAGAAGTCCCTTGGGCTCTGGGGTCCGTTCCCAGAAGGATACGTGTTTATAGGTTGCATGCACTAAAAGTCACCAACACCAAATGGGGAGCCGGAAGTTCTGTGTGTTAGGTTTGGAAGTTTGGAAATACAGAAACTCTCCCTTGAATCTCTTGGTGTGGAGATTCCCCTGCACCAACAGAGCTGAGTGAGGTGAAGGACAGATCTGGGAAGCCTAAGGCTTTCCCTGGAAATTGCATACTTTACTAACAAGAGGAGAAATTTATTCAGTGTACATGTGAGTTTTGCTTATTTTTTATTTCACGATATTGTACCGGGTATATTGATACTATTAAAATGAACTATTCTGATGGTCACTGTGCTGTGTAATTAAAAAAAAATCAAACAAATTTGGCCTCAGAAAATCTGAGTAAATTACTCTGTGACCTCGTAAGTGCAGGGTGTTGTGTTTTCCCCGCTGCTGTCTGACATGCTTAGACTGTAGTATGTGTATCTCTGTGCTTTTCATAATGAGTCCTGTTGGATTTAAATCTCTCATAAATGACCTCCTGCTTCTGTGAATTAAACTGGGAAACCTGTAGGGTTAGACGTGTATGCTAACACTTGGTGGCAGAAGAAGATCACTTTCAATCACACAGGGAGGGTCTCAGTGCACATCTGGATTCCTTGAGGCATAAATATGATCTCCTCCTGCATGGATCCATTGTTTTTAAACACACCTTCTTTTCTGAGCTCCAAAGTCCCTGGATTTATGGCTTTTCTAATTTACTAATATAGCATTTACTCTAATGCAGGTTTGGCATATTTAACTGGTACTGAGGAAGGTATGTACCAGATGTTTGACTAAAAAGCACG